ACACCAGACCGGACGCCATGAGCTGCATTCAAACAGCGCTACCTGGCACCATTGGCAGATGTGCGCCCTGAAACCAGATGGTTCTCACTGTCCATCAGGTGGTGCGCTGGTTTGGTGGTTTGGAACTTGCAAGTTTGAGAGCACCAGACGGCAATCAACCATTCAAGGACATCTCCGGATATCCGGATATGTTGGACCCTTGTGCCGGGGGAAGATACTTGATCGATGCAATCTCCCAGGCGTTGGCTTCGAGAACAGCTTCCCATCCGTTTCGCGCGGCGGATTGAGGAGAGTGCAAGGGTGTGAGTCAGAATTTGGACGGCTACGTGAAGTAATCCATTTTGTTTGGGTACCTTTTGGCCACTTTGGCCAATATCCAGCTTTGCACTTTTGGTGTGCTGCTTAATGTGCAGCGGTCAAAGCTGAGTCACAGCGCACGAAAGGACATCCTGCAGCTTCCGCATGTGGCAGTGGTGAATCCGCAGATCAACAGCATCCTGTCCACCTACCTGGAAACTTTCGAGGTGATTCATTCCAGCCCACCCATCGAAACCCACGACGACGAGAAGGCTTTCCTGCGCATTGTTCAAGATCAGCTGGCCCGAAGCCTGGAATGAACGCTGGGAAATCCTGCACCAGTTGGCTCAAATAAATTCAAAGAACCTAATTACATTGCAATTATACCTAATGAACAATCCACAAATGGCCCCGAGGTGAAGCATCATCCAGGCACAAGGCTCCTGGCTGAAGGCTATCGGGACGTGATCCTTGGCTGCTTAAGTTGGTTACAACTTATTTTTTAACTGTTCCTTTCCCACTTTTAAGTTTAATCGGTTTCCAGCATTGACGATCCTGCAAACGTGTACATATGTACATATATATATATATGTATATAGTTTAATATGTATGTATGTATGTAATGTAATGTAATGTAATGTAATGTAATGTAATGTAATGTATGTAATGAATGTAATGTATGTAATGTATGTAATGTATGTAATGTATGTAATGTATGTAATGTATGTAATGTATGTATGTATGTATGTATGTATGTATGTATGTATGTATGTATGTATGTATGTATGTATGTATGTATGTATGTGTTTGTATGTGTTTGTATGTGTTTGTATGTGTATGTATGTGTATGTATGTATGTTTGTATGTGTATGTATGTATGTATGTATGTATGTATGTATGTATGTATGTATGTATGTGTTTGTATGTGTTTGTATGTGTATGTATGTGTTTGTATGTGTTTGTATGTGTATGTATGTATGTATGTATGTATTTATGTATGTATGTATGTATGTAAATATATATATATATAAATACATAAATAAATAAGTAAATAAGAAAATAAATAAGTAAATAAATAAATAAATAATATATATATATATATGGAGTAAATATAAATAAATAAAATATATATACATACATACGTACATCATACATACATACATACATACATACATACACACATACGTTCATACATACATACATACATACATACATACATACATACATACATACATACATACATACATACACACACACATATATATTTATATATATTCGAAGGAAGGAAGGAAATTTAGAAGTCAAACTTTTCCGGCAATATGGGCAGATGAAAAGAAGAGATGGGAAGGGTCAGAGAAGAGAAGAGAAGAGAAGAAGAAATAAGATCAAAAAAGAGAAAGTCTCAGAAGAAAGAAGATCCGGGAGCGCGAAAAGGTAGGACAGTCGCAAACGACTGTGTTTTTCCAATGATTTGTGGCTCCGGAGGGTCGAAAAGTAGGCTCGCTAAAGCGGCGGGTGCGGAGCCAGATGAGAGATGAAAAATTGCACGCCGTTGAAGGGAGAAGCGCATTTCCAAGTCAAAATACACATACATACACATACGTACGCATACATACACATACACATTCATACACATACTTACACATACGTACACATACATACACATACATGCACATACATACAAATACAGACATATAGACTTACAGGCATACAGACATACAGGCATACAGACATAAAGACATAAAGACATAAAGACATACAGACATACAGACATAAAGACATACAGACATAAAGACACACAGACATACATGCACAGACATGCACAGACATGCACATACATGCACATACATGCACATACATGCACATACACACATACACATACACATACATACACATACATACATACATACATACATACATAATTACATACATACACATACATACATAGACATACACACACATACATACAGACAGACATACATCCATGCATGCATGCATGCAGACAGACAGACAGGCAGGCAGGCAGACGGACAGAGAGAGAGAAAGAGAGAGAGAGACAGAGAGACAGAGAGACAGACACAGAGATAGACACAGAGAGAGGCAGAGACAGACAGAGAGAGACAGAGGCAGACAGAGGGAGACAGGCAGACAGAGAGACAGACAGATAGACAGACAGGCAGAGAGACAGACAGACAGGCAGACAGCCAGACAGACAGACAGGCAGGCAGGCAGCCAGACAGGCAGACAGGCAGACAGGCAGACAGGCAGACAAGCAGATAGGCAGACAGGCAGAGGGGCAGACAGACAGGCAGACAGGCAGACATACATGCATGCCCGCATACATACATGCACACAAACATACATGCACACAAACATACATGCACACAATTGCACACATACATACATGAACGCATACATACATGCACACACACACATGCACACAAACATGCATGCACACATACATGCACACATACATGCACACATGCATGCACACATGGATGCACACATACATGCACACATACATGCACACATACATGCACACATACACACACACACATGTATGCACATACATACACATACATAGATAAACATGAACATACATAATCATACATACACATACATTTACATACATGCATACATGCATACATGCATACATGCATACATACATACATACATACACATACATACACATACATACACATACATACACATACAAACACATACAAACACATACATACACATACAAACACATACAAACACATACATACACATACATACACATACATACACATACATACACATACATGCATGCATGCATACATACACACACATACAAACATACATACATAGATACAGACATAGATACAGACATACATACATACGCGTACATAAACATACATACACATACATACACATACACATACACACAAACCTACATACATACATACATACATACATACATACATACATACATACATACATACATACACACACACACACGCACATACACATACACACACACACATACGCGTTATTATACATAAATACGCATACATACGCATACAAACACATACATACACATACATGCAGATACATACATACCTTAAACATACACACACACATACATACACATACCTGCACATACAGACACATACATACACATACATACACATACACACATACATACATACACATACAGACATATAGACATACAGGCATACAGACATACAGGCATACAGACATACATGCATACATGCATACATGCATACATGCATACACATACATACATACACATACATACACATACATTCACATACATACACATACATACATACATACATACATACACACACATACACAAGTACATACATACACATACATACACATACATACACATACATGCACATACATACATACATTACATACATGCATGCATGGATACATACATACATACATACAAACATACATACATACACACACATACACATAAACATACACATACGCATAAATACACATAAATACGCATACATACACATACATACATACATTAAACATACATACATGCATTGAACATACATACACTTACATACACATACACACACATACAAACACATACATACATGCATGCATGCATACATACGTGCATGCATGCATAATGCATGCATACATACACACGTCTACACACATACATACATAGGTACAGACGTACATACAGGCACACATACATACGCATACATACGCATACATACGCATACATACGCATACATACGCATACATACACATACACATACACATACACATACACATACACATACACATACACATACACATACACATACACATACACATACACATACACATACACATACACATGCATGCATACATACACATACATACATACATGCATACATACATACACACACGTACAAACAATGCACACATACACAACTACATACATAACTTTAGATTAACATTGTATCCCCGCCTTTTCTGTGCATCCTCCCCAAGGCGGCGCTTGTATCCGGAAATTCACCTGGATGACTTCTTGCATGACCATTTCATCACGCGGATTGCAACGCGAATTCTCATGGACAACTATGTGGAGATGCAGCTGGACCCAACTTGAGCCGCCAAGTACAAAATTGTTGCTACTGAACTGTATCGATTTTCCGAAGAAATCAACCCTGTTATTTAAGTAGATTTCGGATTCCTGGAACTCGTCCAACAAATAACCAAATACAGTGTATTCATGTAAAATTATGACGGATTTTGTTCCACTATTGGTCTGTTTCCTAGCACCTTCAGGCGAGTGCCCAAAGATGGCTTCGTGGGAGTGGTGTGCCAAGATATGAGGCCAGAGGTGAGCCAGAAGTCAGAGTAAGAACCTGGCTAGACTGGTTTCCTTCTGAAAGCGGACCATGCGTGGTGATTGTCGCCGCATGGATTTGTTGTGATTACCGCATGCCATGGGTTCAGATTTGTTTTTTCTTTGCAATAGAAAATCAGCAAATGTGGCGAGATGTGACAATTTGATACCCGCTGTGATTAGGCATTGGTTCGAGGGTGATTGTGGCCATGATTCAGGTTACAGTAGGTTTACCCAGCGGTCGCCATGAGACGCTTTTGATTCCCGAGCCCTTCAAAGTAGAGGACTTGAGGATGCTGGCTAAGAAAACTTTCGGACAAGGGTTTCTGAAACTTGTGACCGGACAAGGTGATATTTTGCAAGATCCCAGGCAATCCCTCACAATGGTTGGGGCTCCAGAGGGAGACCTTCTCACGGCTATTGCACGAGAAGCCAATGTGGCCTCAGCCGCCAGGGCCTTTGCGTTGTGGTTCCGTGGAGGTGACAAGATTGCCACACGGGGTTTCCCAGAGCATGGTGGCGACAGCTCCAACGTGCAAGATCAGATCAGGAGCGTGCAGCAGGTTCATTCCACAGCTCGAGCATTTGCTGCAACTCTGGAAGGTGGATCCTTTTTTGTGATCGAGTGTGTTTGGTGGTGTTGCCCAGGTTCCACAGACGGCGCATTTGCGGCAGTTGTGGCAGATGGGTCAGTCGTTGCATGGGGCGATCACCGTTTCGGCGGTGACACGTCTGCGGTCCAAGATCAGCTGAGGAGTGTTGTGCAGGTTCAAGCCACGAATGGCACATTTGCCGCAATCCTGGCAGATGGATTAGTTGTGACATGGGGTCGCCCAGAGTTGGGTGGTGATATATAGCTGTTTGGTACAACATCAGCTCAGAAGCGTGAAACAGGTTCAGGCTTCATATGGTGCGTTTGCCGCAATCTTGGTGGATGGATCTGTTGTTGCATGGGGCAACCCATACAACGGCGGTGACACATCTCGAGTGCAAGAGCAGCTGGGGCGTCTGGCAGACAAATATTCGGTTGTTGCGTGGGGCCATCCAGACTATGGTGGTGACACCTCTGCGGTCCAAGATCATCTCTGGGATGTGCAGCAGGTTCATGCGTCTCCTACTACGTATCAGCTCAGGAACGTTGAGGAGATTGCAGGGACGTGTGGCACATTTGCTGCGATCCTGGCAGATGGATCGGTTGTGGCGTGGGGTGCTCCAGAAACAGGTGGTGACAGCTCCCAAGTCCAAAATGAGCTCAGGACTGTTCAGCAAATTGAAGGGACGTTTGGCGCATTTGCTGCGATCCTGGCAGATGGATCGGTTGTGACGTGGGGTGATCCAGAAACAGGTGGTGACAGCTCGCAAATCCAAAATCAGCTCAGGGCTGTTCAGCAAATTGAAGGGACGTTTGGCGCATTTGTTGTGACGTGGGGTGATCCAAAATTAGGTGGTGACAGTCCAAGATCAGCTCAGGAACGTTCAGCACGTTCACGCCCCACAATTTGCGTTTGCTGCAGTCCTAGGAGATGGCGCGCTTGTTGCGCGGGGCAATCCAAATTTTGGTGGCGACACCTCAGCAGTCAAAGACCAGCTCAAGAGTGTTGAACAGATCCAAGCAACCTGTGGAGCATTCGCTGCGCTCCTGGCAGGGATCTGTCATAACATGAGGCCGTCCATTTTATGGTGGCAAAAATTCCAAAGTTAGGGATCAGCTAGTGCGGGTACAGCAGGTTCAAGCCACACGAGGTGCATGTGCTGCAATCCTGGCAGATGGATCAGTCGTTACATGGGGCCATCCATCTTTAGGCGGCAACACCGCTTCAGTGCAAGATCGGCTCAGGGGTGTGAAAGAAGTCCTTCCACTCGGCGGCATGGTTTCATTTGCCGCTTTTCTCGCAGATGGATCAGTTGTTGGCTGGGGCGAGTCATGCTCCAATTATTCGCACCGTCAGCCCCGCAATCTGAAGAGTGTCAAAGCAAATTGTAGTGCATGTGCTGCAGTCCTGTCAGATGGCTCAGTAGTGGCAGGAGGCAATCCAGACTATGGTGGCGACTGCTCTGCAGTCCAGCACCAGCTCAAAAATGTTAAGCAGATTTGGGCGACGTCTTTTGCGTTCGCAGCCACCCTGGCAGATGGATCACGTGTTGCGTGGGGCGATCCTGATTCTGGTGGCGATTGATTGTTCGCAAGTCCAAGATCAGCTTGGAAATCTGTAGCCGTGGAGTTAGGGATCCAGTCTTTCAGCTTTGGCTTGAAATAAAAATAGTTTGTTGATGTGGCCCAAAGGGGCACAGTGGCAAGCCCAGCGGCATGGCCATCATGGTTATTCAACAAACGGTCCCAGCTGTCAGCGCATTTGAAGGTGTGATTGAAGGACATGCGCATGCTGCTGCTGATGACAACAACTTGAATGTCCAGCGGTAATGATCAAGAGGTCAACTTATGTTTGCAGCAACACCCAACCAGAATTCTTGCACTGCCGGCACTGCCCATTACTGTAGACACCACTCTTGCTGATGAATTTCCATCCCAAGATAACATACTCGCTCTGACAAAGATGGAGCTCCCCTTTTTCAAAGTAGTATCAAAATTAATCTGCACCAGCAGCATTTTATTGATTGTAACCCCAGTAGAAGATGAGGCATTCAAGACGTCGTGTTGGCCATCAAGAATTTCCGGCCAGACCAACGACCGACACCTGCCAGGCCGCTCAAAATCGTCCAGGAAATAGCTGGTGAGCTTCGGTCCTTGACCCATGCGCTCTATGGCTGTGCTCCGGAAGTGGAATATCGTAGCTGGGCTGACGCTGACGCTCGATTATCGAGATGGATCGTCCGGTTGTTTGATTATCCTTGAACAATTGGCCCATGAGTCACCATGAGTTACATGAGTCAGCATGAGTCACCATGAGTCACCATGAGTCGGCATGAGTCGGCATGAGTCAGCATGAGTCACCATGAGTCAGCATGAGTTACCATGAGTCAGCATGAGTCGGCATGAGTCACCATGAGTCACCATGAGTCACCATGAGTCAGCATGAGTTACCATGAGTCACCATGAGTCACCATGAGCCACCATAAGTCAGCATGAGTCACCATGAGTCACCATGAGTCGGCATGAGTCGGCATGAGTCGGCATGAGTCAACATGAGTCAGCATGAGTCAGCATGAGTCTGCATGAGTCAGCATGAGTCACCATGAGTTACCATGAGTCAGCATGAGTCAGCATGAGTCACCATGAGTCACCATGAGTCACCATAAGTCAGCATGAGTCACCATGAGTCACCATGAGTCACCATGAGTCGGCATGAGTCGGCATGAGTCACCATGAGCCAGCATGAGTCAGCATGAGTCAGCATGAGTCAACATGAGTCACCATGAGTCACAATGAGTCACCATGGGTCACAATGAGTCAACATGAGTCTTCATGAGTCAGCATGAGTCACCATGAGTCAGCGTGAGTCACCATGAGTCAGCATGAGTCGCCATGAGTCAGCATGAGTCAGCATGAGTCACCATGAGTCGGCATGAGTCACCATGAGTCAGCATGAGTCACCATGAGTCACCATGAGTCAGCATGAGTCAGCATGAGTCAGCATGAGTCACCATGAGTCACCGTGAGTCACAATGAGTCAACATGAGTCTTCATGAGTCACCATGAGTCACCATGAGTCAGCGTGAGTCACCATGAGTCAGCATGAGTCACCATGAGTCACCATGAGTCACCATGAGTCACCATGAGTCAGCATGAGTCAGCATGAGTCACCATGAGTCAGCACGAGTCACCATGAGTCACCATGAGTCAGCATGAGTCACCATGAGTCAGCATGAGTCAGCATGATTCAGCATGAGTCAGCATGAGTCAGCATGAGTTACCATGAGTCAGCATGTGTCACCATGAGTCAGCATGAGTCAGCATGAGTCAGCATGAGTCACCATGAGTTACCATGAGTGAGCATGAGTGAGCATGAGTCACCATGAGTCACCATGAGTCAGCATGAGTCAGCATGAGTCAGCATGAGTCACCATGAGTTACCATGACTCAGCATGAGTCACCATGAGTTACCATGAGTCAGCATGAGTCACCATGAGTTACCATGAGTCACCATGAGTCACCATGAGTTACCATGAGTCAGCATGAGTCACCAGGAGTCAACGCAAGCAAAAATGAATCAAACACTCTGAAATGACCCATGGAAGCATTGTACGCAATATCAGCGCAATTCAGGGGCAATGAGCCCATCTTCCAGTGGCGCGTTAAAACTTTGCGCATGTGAAGTTAGAACAATGCAATACTGTAGCCATGGCATGTTATGCTAGCTGGGCAACCCATTAGTCACAGATCAGGTGGAAGACATGGGTAGGTTGACACGTGTGGAAATGCTGCGGAATTAGGCCTTCATTCTTCATGATGTTATGGTCCATGGTGTTTTGAGATGCAAACTGAGGCGGAAACCCAGATTGTGTCCTCGACTACATCCCACGTCACGTGAAGTACATGGTAAGGCCCAAGTTAGCCGTTAGCCCAACCGATTCGAATTCAGCGGAACACTGGCACAGTTCGCCTTGCAACCTCGAAGCAGTGACGCCAGGGAACACCATCCGCTTGGGACGTGGGATCACCATCCGCGTGATGTCGCCAGGGAACTCCTGAAGAACGCTTTCAGATCAACGATGGAAAGGCACCTATCCAGGACTGCAAAAAGACTGGCTTGACTGGCTTGACATCTGAAGACACAGGCATAATCTCTCTCTGTCTGTCTGTCTGTAGGTAGGTAGGTAAGTATGTATGTATGTATGTAATGTAATGTAATGTAATGTAATGTAATGTAATGTAATGTTATGTATGTATGTGTATGTGTATGTGTATGTGTATGTGTATGTGTATGTGTATGTGTGTTTATATGTATATGTAATATGTATATGTATATGTATATGTGTATGTATATGTCTATGTATATGTATATGTATATGTCTATGTATATGTATATGTGTATGTATGTATATGTATATGTATGTATGTATGTATGTGTATATGTATGTATATGTATGTATGTATGGATGGATGTATGTATGTATGTATGTATGAAATGTAATGTAATGTAATGTAATGTATGTATGTATGTATGTATGTATATGTATATGTATATGTATATGTATATGTATATGTATATGTATATGTGTATGTATATGTATATGTATGTAATGTATGTAATGTATGTAATGTATGTAATGTATGTAATGTATGTAATGTATGTAATGTATGTTATGTATGTTGTGTATGTTATGTATGCAATGTATGCAATGTATGCAATGTATGCAATGTATGCAATGTATGCAATGTATGCAATGTATGCAATGTATGCAATGTATGCAATGTATGCAATGTATGCAATGTATGCAATGTATGCAATGTATGCCATGTATGCAATGTATGCAATGTATGCAATGTATGCAATGTATGCAATGTATGCAATGTATGCAATGTATGCAATGTATGCAATGTATGCAATGTATGGAATGTATGTAATGTATGTAATGTATGTAATGTATGTAATGTATGTAATGTATGTAATGTATGTAATGTATGTAATGTATGTAATGTATGTAATGTATGTAATGTATGGAATGTATGGAATGTATGGAATGTATGGAATGTATGCAATGTATGGAATGTATGCAATGTATGTAATGTATGCAATGTATGTAATGTATGCAATGTATGTAATGTATGTAATGTATGTAATGTATGTAATGTATGTAATGTATGTAATGTATGTAATGTATGTAATGTATGTAATGTATGTAATGTATGTAATGTATGTAATGTATGTAATGTATGTAATGTATGTCTGTTATGTCGTATGTATGTATATGTATGTATGTTTGTGTCTGTGTGTATGTAATGTATGTGTGTGTGTAATGTATGTAATCTGTACTGTCTGTAATGTATGTAATGTATGTAATGTATGTGTATGTATGTATGTAATGGTAATGTAATGTATGTAATGTATGTAATGTATGTAATGTATGTAATGTCTGTAATGTAATGTAATGTATGTATGTATGTATGTGTAATGTATGTATGTAATGTAAATGTAATGTATGTAATGTATGTAATGTATGTAATGTATGTAATGTATGTAATGGTAATGTATGCATGTATGCATGTATGCATGTAATGCATGTAATGCATGTAATGGATGTAATGTATGTAATGTATGTAATGTATGTAATGTATGTAATGTATGTATGTATGTAATGTAATGTTATGTAATGTTATGTATGTTATTTATGTATGTTATGTATGTCATGTATGTCATGTATGTCATGTATGTTATGTATGTATGTATGTATGTAATGTAATGTAATGCAATGTAATGCAATGTATGTAATGTATGTATGTATGTATGTATGTATGTATGTATGTATGTATGTATGTATGTATGTATGTATGTATGTATGTATGTTGTGAATTCTCTTAAAGCCAATCGATCAACTCCCATGGGGTAGTCTTCCAGTCATGTCCATGTCGGTCATGCCAGACTTGTGGGGTTCATGCATCAACCGATGCTTCATCCGATGGCGGTCCATTTGCAGGCCCAAAGAGGGGGTTGCACCTAGGCGGTGCCCTTGGTGAAAAAGGTGTTTTGCGTCTCAGGGTGGACGCTCGGTGAAGCCATTGGTGTGGCAATCATTGCTTGGGTTCCATAGGAGTGGACATCATTCATCAACCTGCATTCTTGAGGTGGTCCCCTGCCAGTGTTGGACTAGATTCCACATTGGTAGCGGAGGCACGTGCTCCTTAGGGCTCTCTGTACTTTGTGCCATCAATCCGGAGGTTTACATCGTGGCCAAGTTCTGAAAGCCGGCAAATTTTCCGTGTGTTTGCAAGTGATTTTCTTTGTGACTCGCTCTGAGTTCCTAACAATCGCCCTGGAAAGGAGTTTGGTCCAGAGAGATTTCTTGTGAATCCAACATGCCTGAGGGAGACGACCTCAGCTCTGCAGTTCCAGGCCAGACCAGTTCAGGTTCAGCTTCTCACCTACCGTGGCATTTGATATCATCGTTTGAACCAGGAACCACCGACTTGACCTCATACACAAAACGTCTGGAGTTTCTTGCGGGAATTTGGCCCAGTGAATATCTGAGTCAGCTAGCTCCTCGTGCTGCATTGCAATGCAAGGGTTCAGCTTTCCAGAAAGTCGTCCGGATTTCACCAGAAAAACTGAAGGTCAATGATCTCACTGGCGTAAAGCTTTTGGTATCAACACTGGGAGGAGTGTGGGGCAAGACAACCTTAGAAGACAAGTGTGAAAAGTTTGAAAGAGCCATTTATGGCATTTCTCAGAGATCGGATGAAAGTAATGAAAGCTACATGGCACGGCATGAGATTGTGTTTGAGGATGTGGTATCTCAAGGGGCTTCCTTGACTGACATGCGGGCATACATCCTTCTCAGGAATAGTGCCCTTTCTGCAGATGACAAGAAGCGTGTGTTGGTAGAGGCCAAGGGGAACCTGACATATGAAGCCGTCACTCAAGCCATTCGAATGCTCGGGGCCAAGTTTTTCCAAGAAGTGCAAGGTCAACAGAAAAATCACCGATCAAAAACATATGATGTCAACTATGTGCAAGAAGGTGATGAGGAAACCTTCTATGGTGACAGCTCAGAACATTCCTTTCTGGCTGACGGATCGGATCTTCCTGACATGATTGTCGAACAGTTTCTGACGGAAGGTGACGAGGATGCGCTTGTTGTGGCGCAATTTGAAGATGCCTTGATTGACGAGGTGCAGAACGACAATGAAATGAATGTTTTTCTGTCATCCTATGTTGAGGCCCGTCGGAAGTTAACCGAAAAGTCTCGCAGTCGTGGATTCTGGCCGATCAGATCGTCTTATGGTAGCAAGGGCTCTGGAAAGAAGGGGAAGAACAAAAACTTCTTCCGTTCCCGAAAACCTCTTGCTCTGCGGATCGCTGAAAGTGATTGCAGACTCTGTGGACAGAAAGGCCACTGGCGGGCAGAATGCCCAAAGCGTGGTCAGCTGAGTTCTGCAGCATCCGTGCCTCCTAAGTCGGCTGTGGCCAATGTCATGATTCCAGCCAGTGAAGTGTCCGATGATGATGCCGATGTCTTCGTGATGGAGCCGACCGGTACTGTCATGCCTGATGTCCAAGCCTGTGTCCAGGACTCCGTGTCTAATCAAGCCGAAAATTCACACTCCCATGTCTGTTTAGTAAGCTGGTCCCATAATGTACGTAACAGGCATAAAGGCTGGTACTATAAGCAGGTGTGTAATAGGCTGCAAACAGTTTTCCAGAACTCTGCATTGCCTGCATCCACCAGGATGATCCCTGATGAACGCAGTGTCCACCGTGCAACCCCCTCTGAGAAAACTGATGGAACGCCTGAGAGTGATTTTCGTTCAGAATTGGCAACCAGTCCGATGAAACCACATGTGCAGGTGAAGGCCAGTCCGAGAGTTTATCCAGCTACTGATGTATCCATGTTACATGAAGCCATGTTTTGCAACTGCCAAAACGTTTGGAATTGTAGACTTAGGTGCCTCTCAAACTGTCATGGGACAACACCAAGTTGAAGAATTTATGGACGGCTTACCTGTCTCAGTTCGCGATCGAGTTTTTGAACAGCCAGTGGAAATGATGTTTCGCTTTGGGAACAACAGCACTGTACCATGCAAGAAGGCCATTTTTGTTCCTATTGACAAATACTGGATCAAGATTGCCATTGTTGATTCCAAGACACCCTTCTTGATTTCCAACAATGTTTGCAGAAGTCTTGGAGCTGTCATTGACACATGCACTCAAAGCATCCGTTTCCAGCATCTGGATTGTGAGATACCGCTGCAGCTGTCCGGGAAGAAACTCTTTCTTTTGGACTTTTGTGAGTTAGCAGCCTTGCGACCACCGAAGACACATCCGATGTCCGAAAATGCAGCTGTCCCACCAGAACGTGTTTTCGTGTGTCAAGAACAATCTCAACCAGCAGACCTCCATTCAAAGTCAGAGGCAGGTCCACAGGTGTCGACAAGTGAACCAACATCAGTTGCGTATGAATCCCAACATCAATCACCACTACCGACCACTGCTGAATTTTTGTGTAACAATCATGTTTTCAGTCAGACAATAGATCAGGATCATCAAAAGGATTTGCAATCAACATGTGTTTCCAACGATGGATCCAACCATGACCATTCAGATCACCACAGCCTTCTGATCAGTGCGGAACCCGGCGTTTCGATCCATATTGCAGCTTCGCCCAGATCTCTTGGACCAGCAGCCTTGCCGAACGGTTCAATGCAGTGCAGACCAACCAAACCAAGGTCGAGAAAACCAACCGACTGATGACCATGACCTTCGAAGAGGTCGGTGCACTGACCATCCGTTTTGGGGAGAGCAAGTTGGGCCAGACCTACAAGCAGGTTGTGACCGAGGATCAGAAATACTGCCAGTGGTTCATTCGCAAGTTTGCGGCGAGTGGGAAGGAAGAACATCAGGAGTTTCTATTCTACCTGAACCTGTGGGTGGAACGCAAAGAGCTGGAGATGGGCATTCCCGATCAGATGAAACCACGTCCAAAAACCCAAGGTGGATCGGGAAGTGGGAAACCATCAGCTTCAGTGCCGACATGCATCGACCTGGAGACCGAGGAGGACACTTGGGATCGGATT